TGCAAACATCGATTTCTTTCAATCAATGTTTGTTGTTGTTTTTTTTAAATTTTGTGTTCAGTCATTAAATTGATGTTGTGCTTCCGATTTAACAGACTATGCAAGAAATAGTACAACAAGAAAAGCTAAAAAACCAAGACCAACTAAAACGACAGCAAATAATACTACATCACCTATTGAAACGATAGCAACAACTAATCCAGAAGGTTTTTATCGTTTTACTCATAAATACCTCATTTTGCTTTTTGATTTTTGTTTTTCTAAACCTTAAATCGATTTGTTGATTGAGATTTTCGCAAGGATTTGATCAAAATTTTTTTCGATTTGCTGATCTGTTATTGATTTGTCGATTATCTGGATATTATTTTTAGGTATTTTTTGGATATTATTTTGAAGTTTGTACCTCAACCATTCATAAGGCATCTCCAACGCATGAGGCAAATGGAGAGAATTAGACATTTTGCCTATTGAAGCTGCATTTCTAGGGCTCCAACGCATGAGGCAAATGGTGAGGCATTTTGACCATTCTCGTTTTGGCTCTCCATAGGTAGCCAGCCTCAATTGCTAGGCAAAGTGTGTTCCCGTCAACTCAGGTGACTCTTTCTCTTTCTCACTTTCCCGTTCTTCCCCATCAACGATCTCTCTGAACCCATCTCCTGCACTACGAAACGCTTCCCTCTCTGTTTGATCTCGCTAAGCTTAGTTTACTTCTTGCGATTCAGGAAGATTCAAGAGGTTTGGACATTGAATTTCAAGGTCAGAACTCTTTGAATCCTAAATCAATACCTTTGCTTCACTTTGATTTCTTTCTTTGTTTCCTGGTATGTTTGCCATCAATTTATTGGACTCAATGAGGTTCCTATTATTGCCGTATATTGGGTCCCCAACCCAAATATCTGGTGGTGGTGGGTGGCTCTGAAATGTCGTCGCCTCTCAAACATTGTACCAAACGAGTCCTTTTCAAACTAACCGGTTTTTACTATGCCTTCTCTTATACCTTTCCAATCAATTTTGACTACGGCTCTAAATGTTGAATAGTTTTCAGAGCAGATTATTTCTTTCCATTCATGTGTTTTGCAGTGCTCGAGTTTTCCTCAATTGGGTTCTATCTGATTTTTCATTCTCTTCCTCTTACTAGCACATGAAAGTTTGTTTCTTGTTCTTTAATATGCTTTTTTCATCTACATATTATTAGTTTCAATCCTTCATATTTGACCTGTTATTCTTTTTGTTGTTTTTCTTTCTTTTTTATTTATTTATTTATTTATTTTTTTATTAATAACTTGGTTTTTGCCTCTGGGTTTTGAGTTCAAGCCCTCGTCATTTGTTCTTAATTTATAATTGTTTTTACTTCAAGATTTTGATCAATTGTAACCGAAGGAAAATTCAAGTTTTGTTATGGAATTTTTGAGAGAGAGAGACAATGGATTTATGGGTTGTTGCAGTAGCAGCAGCTGGAGCTGGGTATTTAGCCAAGTATTGGCAAAACTTGTCTGGGAAAATGGGTTATCAGATGGGAATTCAATTCGCAGGCAATCCAAATCCCAATATTTGCTTCAGCAGATGCAGGACCAAAATAGTCCATTCTGCGGATCGGTGCGAAAAGGATTGGGAGGAGATGTTTCTTTAGGGGGAGAACATGATGAATCAGTTTCAGATTGGACGTTTCATGAATTGGACTGACATGGTGGTAGTTTGGCAGCTGGAAATGCATCTACAAGTGACAGCGATGCTAAAGTTTTGGCAAATGTAGGGAATTATGAGAATTACAATGTGCTTATGACGAAGAATTTTCCACCAGGATTCCAAGGAAAAGAAATTTTTCAGGACAATGTAATTGGAATTAGTGAAAAGAATGAGAGTTTTGACAATTTTGGTGATGCTTTACTGGGATTTGAGACCTATAGATTAGCAAAGAGCAAGCCTCTTAGAAGTAAAAGGTCTCGCGGGTTTTCTGTTAAACCATTGAACCCTTTAGAAAGTTACCTCACTGCTCAGCTGTATAGAGAGTAGGCTCAAAAGGATGAGTTTGAGTTTAGTTTAGTTCCATCACCACTTACACCAACAGTGAGACCATTGTTGGTAACTGATGGGAACCGAATAATTAGCAGAGATTTTAGTGATTCATTTGGTTATAAGCTTAAGAACAAAGGTGTGATTTCTTTAGAAGAGGATAGTAATACAGTTTTGGAAAAGATGACTATTTGAAAAAGTTCTTCATGCAACCTAACGTATGTGGGCCTTGTAGAATAAGTTCAAACTGTGTATGAGATTTATATAGCCTTCGAGTACTTGCTTTATTTTATTTTATCATTTTCTTTTAATGGGTTTTGCTTGAAGTTTCACAATTTCAGCTCGTGTTCACTCTGTGAATTCTATTGTCAAAAATGATCTGTAGCTTGAATATTTCGGGCTCGAATGGCTTGAAAGTACAAATTTCTCTCCCCTCTCGATCTCTTCCCTCTCCGCTTTAGCAGTTCACTATCTCTTTACTCTCGCCTCTCACCTCTCTCACTCAACAAATTGCAAGAAATCAGCACTCTCACCTCTCTCTCACTCTCGCCTCATCCCTCTCTCCTCTTTATCTCTTTACTCTCGCCTCTCTCACTTGTCTCTTGAAGGAGTACGAAGGACGACGAGGCGGGGGACGAAGGACGACGAGACGGTGGATGAACGACGACGGAGGACGACGAACCATGACACAAGACGAACGGGAGCCTGCAACAGCGAATCTGAGGTAAAGCTGAAATCGCAAAGTTAGGGTTTACGTTTGGCTTCAATTTTTGTAGAAATTAGTCGATTGGGAGTGTTTGGGGTTGGATTTTGCTTGGAATTTGTGTTAGGGTTTGGGATTTGCCTTTATGCCTGTTATCTAGAATGAGCTCTGTTATAATAGATATAAAACAGAGTAGGTTTGGGATTTGGGAATGAATTATGTTATCAAGATGTGTTGCTGTCCTGGTATATTTGGGATTCTTGATACCTGTTATCCCAAACCTACTTTGTATGACAGTAACACTTTGTTATCAAGATGTGTTACTCTGTTATCAAGAATGAACTCTGTTATCAAAATCTTGATAACAGGTATAAAGGCAAATCTGGTCATACAAAGTATACCTACTCTGTTAGAGTTCAATCTGGTCATACAAAATATACCTGTTATCAAGAATGAACTTTGTTATCAAGATTAACCTGGTGGTGTGCCTAGTTAAAGATTGAACTCTGTTATCAAGATTAACCTGGTTAACAGGTTAATCTTGAATTAATTTTTAATCTTGATGAAATGTTCTATGAAAAATTGATGAAATGTTCCTGAACTTCATGAAATGTTCCTATGTTAAATAATTTTGAAAATTAATTCAATGAATAATTCAATGTTCTGTGTGTGAAAAGCAGATTGAACTCTGTTATCTTAATTTAACAGATTGAATGGAGTTTTGTGAAAAATTAATTCAAGATTAACCTGTTAACCTAATTAATTCAAGATTGAACTCTGTTATCAAGATTAACCTGGTTAATTAACATATCAAGATCGAACTCTGTTATCAAAATTAATTCAAGATTAACCTGATAAGAGAGTTCAATCTTGAACGCATCTGTCTCTATTTTAAACAGATTGAACTCTGTTATCAAGATTGAACTCTTTAAACAAATCTGTTATCAAGACTGAACTCTAACATCATCTTCTACTAATAATAGGAAGATAAAAAAAATGGAAGAACAGCTTGGTAGGTAGTTGAATCATCATCTTCTGCTAATAGGTAGTTGAATCATCATCTTCTACTAATAGGTAGAACAACTTGGGAGATAAAAAAATAAGAAGAACATCATCTTCTACTAATCGGTAGTTGAATCTGTTGGTATTTTTTATGCAGATAAAAAAATGGCTTCATCTTCTACTAATAATAGGAACATAAGATTAAAGCCAAGATTGTGTAATTGTGGAAGAATAGCTTCCATGCATATTATACGAACCAATGAGAATGAAAATGAAGAATGTATCTTTTTTGTTTGCCCAACAAAATATGTAAGTATTTGTTATATAAATTGATCTTTTACTTTCTACAAATTTCTTTTGTTATTTATTGATTAACTGATTCTTGTGCATTGTAGATTGCGAACGAACACTACAATTACTTCAGGTTCGCAGATGACGACGACGACGCTACCTCCACAATCCGTGCCAATGCTGGACCTCGGATAGATTCAAGAACAGAAGAAATTAATGATCTAAGGAGAAGGCTTGGTGAGATGGACAATGCAATTCATGAGCATGATAAAAGGCTTCAAAGGATGGAGAAGATTTTCAAGTAGGGGTGTCCGCGGTTCGGTTTGGACCCGCCCGCATCTATGCGGTTTGGGAAAAAGTCAACCCGCGACCGCCCGCAATGCGGTTTGCGGTTGGTGCGGATAGGATTCGCGGATGTGCAAGCGGTTGCGGGCGGTTTGCAGATTGAACTTTTTTTCAAAAATTATTTTTAAACCCTTTTTTTTCTAAAAAGATAAAGTTTTGTATTTTTGTAATTACCTCCCCTATTTTAATTTTGTTCATGTCCAGGAGTGACACCCCCTTGGTGTCCTTTTAATTCAAATAGGATTGAAGTAAGGTGATTCCAAAGTCAATGTTTGTGTCATGTAAAATTAGAAAACTCTGGCTCAATAGAGAATTGACAATATTTTAACACTCAGACAGGTTTGAGGCACAATAAATATGAATATAGTTCCCAACAGATGCAAAGGATGTAGATAATTTACACTTAAAACCATGAAAACAAAATCCTAGGTGATGAGCCTAATTTAAAGTTGTTTGAGAATTGTGGAAAATAGAGCATATGCAGCTTAAATAACCAAAAATAAAAATAACTAAATTTGCCAATTACAAGTTGTTCTTGCAAGTCATAACCATTTAAATGCCAAGCAATAGGTAATTACCGAGCTGCATTAGACAAACAAATGCATAAGAACCGGATACGAAAACACAGACTCTCTCTCTCTCTCTCTCTCTCTCTCTCCATAATTAATTGATCAAACCTAATTTCTTTACATTGATAATTTTTGTGTTATTAGTATCATTTTTATATGCTAATTAGTTGTTTGATTGATGAAATGCCTGAACGAATTAGTTGTTTGATGAAATGCTAATTAGTTGTTTTATATGCTAATTTCTCTATAGATCTGGTCCTATTAACTTAGAAACAATTATTTCGCATAATTACAGAGTTGCCATAATTTTTCTGCAAACATCGATTTCTTTCAATCAATGTTTGTTGTTGTTTTTTTTAAATTTTGTGTTCAGTCATTAAATTGATGTTGTGCTTCCGATTTAACAGACTATGCAAGAAATAGTACAACAAGAAAAGCTAAAAAACCAAGACCAACTAAAACGACAGCAAATAATACTACATCACCTATTGAAACGATAGCAACAACTAATCCAGAAGGTTTTTATCGTTTTACTCATAAATACCTCATTTTGCTTTTTGATTTTTGTTTTTCTAAACCTTAAATCGATTTGTTGATTGAGATTTTCGCAAGGATTTGATCAAAATTTTTTTCGATTTGCTGATCTGTTATTGATTTGTCGATTATCTGGATATTATTTTTAGGTATTTTTTGGATATTATTTTGAAGTTTGTACCTCAACCATTCATAAGGCATCTCCAACGCATGAGGCAAATGGAGAGAATTAGACATTTTGCCTATTGAAGCTGCATTTCTAGGGCTCCAACGCATGAGGCAAATGGTGAGGCATTTTGACCATTCTCGTTTTGGCTCTCCATAGGTAGCCAGCCTCAATTGCTAGGCAAAGTGTGTTCCCGTCAACTCAGGTGACTCTTTCTCTTTCTCACTTTCCCGTTCTTCCCCATCAACGATCTCTCTGAACCCATCTCCTGCACTACGAAACGCTTCCCTCTCTGTTTGATCTCGCTAAGCTTAGTTTACTTCTTGCGATTCAGGAAGATTCAAGAGGTTTGGACATTGAATTTCAAGGTCAGAACTCTTTGAATCCTAAATCAATACCTTTGCTTCACTTTGATTTCTTTCTTTGTTTCCTGGTATGTTTGCCATCAATTTATTGGACTCAATGAGGTTCCTATTATTGCCGTATACTGGGTCCCCAACCCAAATATCTGGTGGTGGTGGGTGGCTTTGAAATGTCGTCGCCACTCTCAAACATTGTACCAAACGAGTCCTTTTCAAACTAACCGGTTTTTGCTATGCCTTCTCTTATACCTTTCCAATCAATTTTGACTACGGCTCTGAATGTTGAATAGTTTTCAGAGCAGATTATTTCTTTCCATTCATGGGTTTTGCAGTGCTCGAGTTTTCCTCAATTGGGTTCTATCTGATTTTTCATTCTCTTCCTCTTACTATGATGATTGTACAGAGCACATGAAAGTTTGTTTCTTGTTCTTTAATATGCTTTTTCCATCTACATATTATTAGTTTCAATCCTTCATATTTGACTTGTTTTTCTTTTTGTTGTTTTTCTTTCTTTTTATTTATTTATTTATTTATTAATAACTTGGTTTTTGCCTCTGGGTTTTGAGTTCAAGCCCTCGTCATTTGTTCTTAATTTATAATTGTTTTTACTTCAAGATTTTGATCAATTGTAACTGAAGGAAAATTCAAGTTTTGTTATGGAATTTTTGAGAGAGAGAGAGAATGGATTTATGGGTTGTTGCAGCAGCAGCAGCTGGAGCTGGGTATTTAGCCAAGTATTGGCAAAACTTGTCTGGGAAAATGGGTTATCAGATGGGAATTCAATTCGCAGGCAATCCAAATCCCAATATTTGCTTCAGCAAATGCAGGACCAAAATAGTCCATTCGGCAGATCGGTGCGAAAAGGATTGGGAGGAGATGTTTCTTTAGGGGGAGAACATGATGAATCAGTTTCAGATTGGACGTTTCATGAATTGGACTGACATGGTGGTAGTTTGGCAGCTGGAAATGCATCTACAAGTGACAGTGATGCCAAAGTTTTGGCAAATGTAGGGAATTATGAGAATAACAATGTGCTTATGACTAAGAATTTTCCACCAGGATTCCAAGGAAAAGAAATTTTTCAGGACAATGTGATTGGAATTGGTGAAAAGAATGAGAGTTCTGACAATTTTGGTGATGCTTTACTGGGATTTGAGACCTATAGGTTAGCAAAGAGCAAGCCTCTTAGAAGTAAAAGGTCTCGCGAGTTTTCTGTTAAACCATTGAACCCTTTAGAAAGTTACCTCACTACTCAGCTGTATAGAGAGCAGGCTCAAAAGGATGAGTTTGAGTTTAGTTTAGTTCCATCACCACTTACACCAACAGTGAGGCCATTGTTGGTAACTGATGGGAACCGAATAATTAGCAGAGATTTTAGTGATTCATTTGGTTATAAGCTTAAGAACAAAGGTGTGATTTCCTTAGAAGATGATAGTAATACAGTTTTAGAAAAGATGACTATTTGAAAAAGTCCTTCATGCAACCTAACGTATGTGGGCCTTGTAGAATAAGTTCAAACTGTGTATGAGATTTATATAACCTTCGAGTACTTGCTTTTATTTTATTTTATCATTATCTTTTAATGGGTTTTGCTTGATGTTTCACAATTTCAGCTCTTGTGTTCACTCTGTGAATTCTATTGTCAAAAATGATCTGTAGCTTGAATATTTCGGGCTCGAATGGCTCGAAAGTACAAATTTCTCTCCCTTCTCGATCTCTTCCCTCTCCGCTTTAGCAGTTCACTATATCTCTTTACTCTCGACTCTCTCACCTCTCTCACTCTCAACAAATTGCAAGAAATCAGCACTCTCACCTCTCTCTCACTCTCGCCTCATCCCTCTCTCCTCTTTATCTCTTTACTCTCGCCTCTCACCTGTCTTTTGAAGGAGTACGAAGGACGACGAGGCGGGGGACGAAGGATGACGAGACGGTGGATGAAAGACGATGGAGGACGACGAACCACGACACAGGACGAACGGGAGCCTGCGATAGCGAATCTGAGTTAAAGCTGAAATCGCAAAGTTAGGGTTTATGTTTGGCTTCAATTTTTGTAGAAATTAGTCGATTGGGAGTGTTTGGGATTGGATTTTGCTTGCAATTTGTGTTAGGGTTTGGGATTTGGCTTTAATTTGTGATGTGTTAGGGTTTGGGATTTGCCTTTATGCCTGTTATCTAGAATGAACTCTGTTATAATAGATATAAAACAGAGTAGGTTTGGGATTTGGGAATGAATTATGTTATTAAGATGTGTTGCTGTCCTGGTATATTTGGGATTCTTGATACCTGTTATCCCAAACCTACTTTGTATGACAGTAACACTCTGTTATCAAGATGCGTTACTCTGTTATCAAGAATGAACTCTGTTATCAAAATCTTGATAACAGGTATAAAGGCAAATCTGGTCATAGAAAGTATACCTACTCTGTTAGAGTTCAATCTGGTCATACAAAATATACCTGTTATCAAGAATGAACTCTATTATCAAGATTAACCTGGTTAACCTGGTGGTGTGCCTAGTTAAAGATTGAACTCTGTCTTGAATTAATTTTTAATCTTGATGAAATGTTCCTATGTTAAATAATTTCAAAATTAATTCAATGAATAATTCAATGTTCTGTGTGTGAAAAATAGATTGAACTCTGTTATCTTAATTTAACAGATTGAACAGAGTTTTGTGAAAAATTAATTCAAGATTAACCTGTTAACCAAATTAATTCAAGATTGAACTCTGTTATCAAGATTAACCTGGTTAATTCAACATATCAAAATCGAACTCTGTTATCAAAATTAATTCAAGATTAACCTGATAAGAGAGTTCAATCTTGAACGCATCTGTCTCTATTTTAAACAGATTGAACTCTGTTATCAAGATTGAACTCCTTAAACAAATCTGTTATCAAGATTGAACTGCAACATCATCTTCCACTAATAATAGGAAGATAAAAAAAATGGAAGAACAGCTTGGTAGGTAGTTGAATCATTATCTTCTGCTAATAGGTAGTTGAATCATCATCTTCTACAAATAGGTAGAACTAGAAGATAAAAAAATAAGAACATCATCTTCTACTAATCGGTAGTTGAATCTGTTGGTATTTTTTATGCAGATAAAAAAATGGCTTCATCTTCTACTAATAATAGGAACATAAGATTAAAGCCAAGATTGTGTAATTGTGGAAGAACAGCTTCCATGCATATTATACGAACCAATAAGAATGGAAATGAAGGACGTGTCTTTTTTGTTTGCCCAACAAAATATGTAAGCATTTGTTATATAAATTGATCTTTTACTTTCTACAAATTTCATTTGTTATTTATTGATTAACTGATTCTTGTGCATTGTAGATTGCGAACGAACACTACAATTACTTCAGGTTCGCAGATGACGACGACGACGCTACCTCCACAATCCGTGCCAATGCTGGACTTCGGATAGATTCAAGAATAGAAGAAATTAATGATCTAAGGAGAAGGTTTGGTGAGATGGACAATGCAATTCATGAGCATGATAAAAGGCTTCAAATGATGGACAAGATTTTCAAGGCAATGACTTATTGTATTTTGTGTATTTTTGTACTTTATCATATAAATGACTAAGTTGTTAGGTTTTGGAACATGCTACGAATGTAATCTACTTTTCTACTTGTTTTGTATTTTTTTGTTGGTGCTTAAAAATCTGATGGTTTGAAAAAACAGGTGTATTGATTAACAATGTGTTGAATGAATAGGTGCTTAACAGTGTATTTTTTTGGACAATGGTTGAACAGGTTGATTAACAATGTGTTGAATGAACAGGTTGAACAGGTTGAAGGTGTATAACAGGTTTCTTTGAGATGAAATTTGTTGAATGAACAGTGTGTATTGATTATGAACAATGTGTGAAATCTGTTGAATTATGCTGGTTGCTTAACAGTGTGTATTATATGTGATGGTTTGAAAAAACAGGTGTATTGATTAACAATGTGTTGAATGAACATGTGCTAAACAGTGTATTTTTTTGGATAATGGTTGAACAGGTTGATTAACAATGTGTTCAATGAACAGGTTGAAGGTGTATAATAGGTTTCTTTGAGATGAAATCTGTTGAATGAACAGTGTGTATTGATTAACAATGTGTATAACAGGTTTCTTTGAGACGAAGGTGAAGGACCTTGAATGAACCTGTAGAATGAATAAGTAATATTTCAAGAAATTTGTTGGCTTGAATGAGAAGCATACACACAGGTTTCTTGTCACGACCCAAACCCGCCCCTATGGGTTTAGCACCGTAACCGGCCAGTAACCCGAGATTACCGAAGGCCTGCTTAACAGTAATACAGTAATACAGAGTACAGGGGCTGGCGGAAGCCAATACAGTAAATAAACAATGTCCAATGAGCTGTGATAATCTGTATGCGAAAAGACTTTTCATTCAAATATATATATACAGTCAGACAAAACAATATGTACATATATACGATTGTTCAGTCAGGGACCTAATCCCTATTAAATAGTACAGTACAGTTAACAAAACAGTTACAGAGACAGAAGGGGGAACTAAACACCCCTAAGCCATAACTTGACAGGCTCGGAACCCCATATTGAGGCACATAGGTTGGCTTGACAAAACTGAAGTTTACCCCGACGCTTCTAGCTGCGGTCTGGTGCCTGTATACCTACATATATATACGAGCAGTGAGCTAAAGCCCAGTGATTAACACAATGCGTAAAGAGGTTAAGAATGAATGTTCTTACAGAATGAAAACACTTCATTAAGCCAGTATTTCAGTCGTTTAGTCAGTAGAGTCATATGTGGTACATCCATTAGCATAACAGTACAGTAAACAGTAGGTCTTAAAAGACCGAGCAGTAAATGATGGCCATCAATCAATAAACAGTAGTGGTTCCAACAAGGGAACCGACAGAGATCTGTGTAACAGTAACAGTAAACAGTAGGTGCTAAGAATGCCACAATACAGTTCAGAATATAGGACATACATTCATTCGATTAACAGTATCAGTTCAGAAAGCAGTACGGTTCAATTGTTCAGAAGATAATCATTTTGAACATATCTTTACACAGTTGTTACTCACAGAGTTCTGGGCTACAGTAAAGCTAGAGCGTGTCCCCTGTCGACAACCCTACACAGTTACAGATTGAACACACACTAAGCTACACAGTTGGGAAAGATAACAGCTTAATCCCTAATTTGCCTCGGTGTGGTTTTACATCTATATCCTCAATAAGATGTCTTAAACTAGGCCTAAGAATGCCTAGAATGAGATGATGATGTAAATATGCACTTTAAAAGCATTTTCAGACTTTTCAGAAAACAGGGGTCACGCTTGAGCGTAGATTACTCCGCTCGAGCGGACATGCAGACCAAAGTTTCTGCTCGAGCGCATCATTACCCGCTCGAGCGTTTTGCAAAACAATCAAAAGTGCTGGATAGGCGAAAATCACGCTCGATTGGGCGCTCGACACCCGCTCGAGCATGAGACACAATGTCCCGCTCGAGCGTCAATTATTCCGCTCGAGCGGACTTCAAAACAGAACAAAATGCTGGGAGCACGATTTCCACGCTCGACGCCAGTCACCCCGCTCGAGCGTGAGTCCAAATTCTGGAAATTCCAGATTTGAACCTCAAGCTCAAAACCAAGTTTTAAACCATAAATTTCGATCCTCTTGGGCCAATTTTCCAGAAAACACATCAAAACTCATACTTTAACATAATTCAAAGCTCAATTTGTAAAATCAAAGCCCAAGGGTGTTTCAAATAAATCCAATTCAAACCAATTTCCATGAATATGAAAAACGTGCAAACATGCATGAATTTAAACACTTCAAAGCTTCAAATGCTAGCTCAATTGAGCCAATTCTTTCTAAAAACATGATGAAATCATGGACTACTCTTAAAACATGAACATGCATGTGAGGAATGTGAACTACAACCTCAAAACTTCAATATATATACATGCATGCAACAATTAAGCTTCAACACAACAATTTGAGCCATAAGTTGGCTCTAGTCTCCAACCTAGGTCTAAACCATGCAAGAAACAATTTAAACACAAGAATGAGAAGATGAATTTCTACCTTAAGTCTCCAATTCAGGGAAGGGAAGCTCAAATATGCAATTTTTTCTTCAATTCCAAGCAATTCACGAGCTAAAGTGAGATGAAATCAACTCTTCTAGTCTCTCTCTCTCTATGGTCGGCAATAACAAAGAGAATGGCTGATGAATTGTGTGCCTAAGTATGTAATTAGGCTCAAATATGTGTAAGAAAGTGGCCACTAAGGGGGTAGTTATGTAAATAAGCTTAACTCTCTTGATTACTCGATTTAATCTAATTAAATCATACCAAATCACATTTTAACTAAATATGCCATAAAATCGCATTAATTCTAAGGATCACAAATCATCAATCAATTTCAGATTCGGCCGCCGACAAGGCCTTCAATTAACAGTTTAAACATAAAAACTGAACAGATAATTAAACAGTCAATAGATAGACATACAGTTAAACAGATATACTTAGTCAATTCAATTCCATATTTCAGTCAGTCAGTTCAGTATTTCAATCAGTTCAATTACCAATCATAATCAGTCTCAGTTTAGCAATAATCAGTAGTTAATCGGTAAACAGTGGTGAGGGTTATTACAGTCTCCCCTTCTTATAAAGGGTTTAGTCCGCTAAACTCGAGTTACCTTCATTCTGGAAGAAAACAGGATTTAGTGGAAACAGTTCAGGATATCTTTTGGCCATGTCATCTTCCCTTTCCCAAGTGGCATACACGCCTCCATGGTTTTGCCAGTCAACTTTCACTAACTGGATCTCTTTGTTTCTCAATTTCTTGATCCGTCTGTTCACAATCTGTATGGGCCGTTCCTCGTAAGTGTAGTCATCACTCAGCACTACACGAGTAGGCTCTATCACATGGAAAGGATCCCGGAGGTAGTCCCTCAACATAGAAATGTGGAAGACGCTATGCATATGCTCCATTTCAGGAAGAAGCGCAACTTGATACGCCACCGGATTGATTTTCTCAATAATCTCGTACGGCCCGACATATCTTGGCGCTAACTTGCCTTTGACTTCGAAACGAGTCTGGCCTTTCATTGGTGTCACTTTCATAAAAACGTGATCACCCACTTCATATTCTCTGTCCTGCCTTCGGACATCTGCATAATTTTTCTGTCTGCTCTGTGCGGTTTTCAGTCTCTGTTGTATCAGTTTCACTTTCTTGGTTGTTTCGTATACAATCTCGGGTCCAAGCAAAGGCCCATCTCCAACTTCTGCCCAGCAAATCGGAGATCTACATTTTCTGCCATATAGTGCCTCGAAAGGTGCCATACTAATACTTGGATGATAGCTGTTGTTGTAGGCGAATTCAGCTAAGGGCAAATGGCTTTCCCAGTTTCCCTGAAAATCAAGGACACACATTCTCAATAAATCCTCCAGAGTCTGGATGGTCCTTTCTGATTGACCATCTGTTTGAGGATGATAGGCACTACTCAGTCTCAATTCAGTACCCAATGTAGTCTGTAAGCTTTGCCAAAATCTCGATGTAAACTTCGAATCCCTGTCAGAAACAATGGACACAGGCACTCCATGCAGTCTAACAATTTCACCAATATAGGGTATAGCCAATTTGTCCTCATTATAAATTGCCTTAACAGGTAAGAAGTGAGCAGATTTAGTCAGTCTATCAACAATAACCCAGATTGAGCCCATACCTTTACTGGAGCGAGGCAATCCCACAATAAAATCCATGGTGATATGTTCCCACTTCCACTCCGGTATTGGTAAGGGCTGCAATAAGCCTGCGGGTCGTTGATGTTCGGCTTTGACTTGTTGGCAATGAAGACATTTTGATACAAAATCAACAATTTCTCTCTTCATTCCCGGCCACCAAAAATTCAGTTTCAAATCTTGATACATTTTCGTATTCCCTGGATGGATAGACAATTTTGAATTGGGGCCCTCCTGCAGAACTCTTCTTTTCAGTTCAGTATCATTCGGTACACACAGTCTTTCTTGAAATTTCAGTACATTACTTTCAAATTTGAAACCCGGTCTTGGTTTGGATTCCCTTTCTTCGATGATCTTTTTCAAGAAGTCATCCTATTGCTGTTTCTCTTTAATTTCCTCAATCAATGCCGGTTGAGCAGAAATAGTAGCTATTGTCCCACCTTGTTCTCGCAAAACAACTTCAATTTCAGACTTTTCAAGGTCACAAAGCAACTCTTTCTGTCCGGTGAGCAACAGGCTAAATTCCCAATTGATTTCCGACTCAATGCGTCGGCAACAGTGTTGGCTTTTCCCGGATGGTACAAAATCTGTAGGTCATAGTCTTTAATCAGTTCTAGCCATCTCCGCTGTCTCATGTTCAGTTCTTTCTGTGTGAAGAAATATTTTAAACTCTTGTGGTCGGTATATACTTCACATGTTGCCCCAGAAATGTAGTGACGCCAGATTTTCAGTGCAAATACTACTGCAGCAAGTTCCAGATCATGGGTCGGGTAGTTTTTTTCATGCGGTCTCAGTTGTCGGGAAGCATAGGCAATTACCCTCCCATTCTGCATTAAAACACACCCCAAACCCTTATGAGAAGCATCACTAAATATGGTAAAACCATCCGTACCTGAAGGTAAGGTAAGAACTGGTGCAGTCACGAGTCGAGTCTTCAACTCTTGGAAAGCTGATTCCCTTGGTCAGTCCAGTTAAATGACATCCCCTTTTGGGTTAGTTGAGTTAATGGTAAGGCAATTTTGGAGAAATCTTTGACAAATCTTCTGTAATACCCGGCTAGTCCTAAAAAGCTTCGAACTTCTGTCACATTTGTTAGTCTAGGCCAGTTCACTACAACTTCAATTTTCTGCGGATCAACAGAAATTCCATCTTTGCTAACAACATACCCCAAAAACATAATATGATCAAGCCAAAATTCACATTTAGACAGTTTAGCATAAAGTTTCTGTTCTCTTAGGGTCTGTAGGGCAAGTCTCAGATGTTGTTCATGTTCTTCTCTAGTCTTAGAATAAATCAGGATGTCATCAATGAATACAACAATAAAGTCATCGAGGAATGGTTTAAAGATTCTGTTAATGAGGTCCATAAATGCAGCAGGTGCATTGGTAACTCCAAAAGGCATAACTAAAAATTCATAATGTCCATACCTCGTTCGAAAAGCAGTTTTGTCTATGTCTTCTGGTTTAACTTTCAACTGATGGTATCCTGATCTGAGATCAATCTTAGAGAACACTTGAGCACCCTGTAACTGATCAAGTAAGTCATCAATACGCGGTAAGGGATACTTATTTTTCACAGTTACCTTATTCAGTTCACGGTAGTCAATACATAGTCTCAGTGAGCCGTCTTTCTTTTTCACAAATAAAATAGGTGCGCCCCACGGTGAAGTACTAGGTCTGATGAACTTCTTATCTAACAGTTCTTGTAGTTGCACTTTCAATTCCTTCAGTTCAGTTGGAGCCATTCGGTAAAGAGCTTTAGATACTGGTTGGGTACCCGGAATCACATCAACGGTGAATTCAATCTCCCTGTCAATCAAATCCCTTGGCAACTTTTCTGGAAAAACATCTGGGAATTCTCTGACTATGGGAATACTATTCACATTAGCACTATCAGCAGTAGATACAGTCAATACAGAACACAGATATCCGTTACACCCTTTTCTAAGCAATTTAACAGCTTTTACAGATGAAATCAAATACGGAGGAGGTACCACTCCAACCCCATTAAATACAAATTCGGGTAAACCCGATGGACGGAAAACTACTTGTTTCGTTACACAGTCTATGGTAGCATGGTATTTTGTTAACCAGTCCATTCCCAATATTACATCAAAATGATCAATGTTTAGGGGTAGTAAGTCAATAAACAAATGTGCATCTCCAACAATAATTTCACAAGCAGGATACATATATGCACAGGTCATAGATCCCCCAACAGGTGAAGATACGGCTAACAGGTAATTCATGGGTTCTAAGGGTCTATTCAATTTTCGCGAAAAAGCATACGATACATTCGAATGGGTAGACCCCGAATCAATCAGTACATATGCATTTTGAGTACAAATAGAGAGGATACCTGACACCACTGTCTCGGTATTTTGTACGTCTCCCGGTACTAGGGTGAACACTCGGCCCTGCCTCATAGGCTCCTTCCCGATAGTTTTGGGGTTCGATTTTGGTGCAACAGTTGAGGCTGCCACGCTTGGTGTAGCTTTACTACTGGCCTGCGGAGCAGAGGGACAGTCTTTAACCATGTGGCCCACCTTGCCACACCTGTAACAGGCTCCAGATATTTTGTAATAGACCCCTTTGTGCTTCTTGCCACACTCAGAACAGGGTGGTATGAAACCACTCCCCTGGCTAGGGCTAGTTGTTGACCCCGTATTCTGTTTCTTGTTCACTGGGTTATGCTTGCCTTTCTTGAATTTGAAACCCTGCATTTTCCCACGCCATTCAGACGCTGGTGTTTCAGTTTTTAGTGCCTTGATGTTCGATTCAGCCATCAAGGCTCGGTCAAGAACATTTACATAGTTTGGTAGCTTCAGGACATTAATTCTGTCGAGAATTGAAACATTAAGGCCACCTTCGAACTTTCTGGCCTTCTTGTACTGGTGTCCACCATGTGTGGTGCATATCTAGCAAGTTCGGTGAATTTTGTTTCATATTCAGCAACAGACATTGTGCCTTGTCTCAGCTGTTCAAACTCAGTTACTTTTCTATCCCTGACACACTGAGGGAAATACTTTTCGAAGAAGGCTCCTTTGAATTGAGCCCAAGTCATAAACGATGTTGGTGTCGCGGACTAACATCCACCACCTTCTGGCCTTTTCTTGTTGTGTAAAGGTGGCTAGCAGTACTTTATGTGCTTCAGAGCACGGAAAAACTTCAAACAATTTTTCTGTCTCAAGCACCCAAGCTTCAGCCTTTAACAGTTCAAGGCCTCCCTAAAACGATGGCGGTTTCATTTTGCTGGACTTCCGGGTGAGAGCAATTATGTCATCATTAATAGGTGGTTCTGGCTGTACTAGAGGAAGTGGGGGCTGTTGGTTCTGTTGTTGCCCTAACCTTTCAGTTATTAGTTCCATCATTCTCTCCAGTTTTGCCATTCTTGCCTCAGAGGATGAGGTTTCAGATTCATTTGCAGTTCTCGCATTATCCATTTCACTATAGGCAGTTATAACAGTTATCAACATAGGCAGTCATTTATTTAAACAGATTAACACATTAGTATATATTCAGTCATATCATAGCCACACGCTTATCATGCTCATGTGATGCCCTATTTACTTTTCTAGGACACCCTATAGCTCATTTGGACACGTGTGTACGGTATAACTCGTGGTAAGTATCGCTCTGATACCACTCTGTCACGATCCAAACCCGCCCCTATGGGTTTAGCACCGTAACCGGCTAGTAACCCGAGATTACCGAAGGCCTGCTTAACAGTAATACAGAGTACAGGGGCTGGCGGAAGCCAATACAGTAAATAAACAATGTCCAATGAGCTGTGATAATCTGTATGCAAAAAGACTTTTCATTCAAATATATATATATACAGTCAGACAAAACAGTATGTACATATATACGATTGTTCAGTCAGGGACCTAATCCCTATTAGATAGTACAGTACAGTTAACAAAACAGTTACAAAGACAGAAGGGGGAACTAAACACCCCTAAGCCATAACTTGACAGGCTTGGAACCCCGTATTGAGGCACATAGGTTGGCTCGACAAAACTGGAGTTTACCCCGATGCTTCTAGCTGCGGTCTGGTGCCTGTACACCTACATATATATACGAGCAGTGAACTAAAGCCCAGTGATTAACACAATGCGTAAAGGGGTTAAGAATGAATGTCCTTACAGTAATGAAAACAGTTTATTAAACTAGTATTTCAGTCGTTTAGTCAGTAGAGTCATATGTGGTACATCCATTAGTATAACAGTACAGTAAACAGTAGGTCTTAAAAGACCGAGCAGTAAATGATGGCCATCAATCAGTAAACAGTAGTGGTTCCAACAAGGGAACCGACAGAGATCTGTGTAACAGTAACAGTAAACAGTAGGTGCTAAGGATGCCACAATACAGTTCAGAATATAGGACATACATTCATTCGATTAACAGTATCAGTTCAGAAAGCAGTACGGTTCAATTGTTCAGAAGATAATCATTTTGAACATATCTTTACACAGTTGTTACTCACAGAGTTCTGGGCTACAGTAAAGCTAGAGCGTGTCCCCCGTCGCCAGCCCTACACAGTTACAGATTGAACACACACTAAGCTACACAGTTGGAAAAGATAACAGCTTAATCCCTAATTTGCCTCGGTGTGGTTCTACATCTATATCCTCAATAAGATGTCTTAAACTAGGCCTAAGAATGCCTAGAATGAGATGAGGATGTAAAGATGCACTTTAAAAGCATTTTCAGACTTTTCAGAAAACAGAGGTCACGCTCGAGCGTAGGTTACTCCGCTCGAGCGGACATGCAGATGAAAGTTTCCGCTTGAGCGTATCATTACCCGCTCGAGCGTTCTGCAAAACAGTCCAAAGTGCTGGATAGGCGAAAATCACGCTCGATTGGGTGCTCGACACCCGCTCAAGCATGAGACATAATGTCCCGCTCGAGCGTCAATTATTCCGCTCGAGCGGACTTCAAAACAGAACAAAATGCTGGGAGCACGATTTCCACGCTCGAGCGCCAGTCACCCCGCTCGAGCGTAAGTCCAAATTCTGGAAATTCCAGATTTGAACCTCAAGCTCAAAACCAAGTTTTAAACCATAAATTTTGATCCTCTTGGGCCAATTTTCCAAAAAACACATCAAAACTCATACTTTAACATAATTCAAAGCTCAATTTGTAAAATCAAAGTCCAAGGGTGTTTCAAATAAATCCAATTCAAACCAATTTCCATGAATATGAAGAACGTGCAAACATGCATGAATTTAAACACTTCAAAGCTTCAAATGCTAGCTCAATTGAGCCAATTCTTTCTAAAAACATGATGAAATCATGGACTACTCTTAAAACATGAACATGCATGTGAGGAATGTGAACTACAACCTCAAAACTTCAATATATATACATGCATGCAACAATTAAGCTTCAACACAACAATTTGAGCCATAAGTTGGCTCTAGTCTCCAACCTAGGTCTAAACCATGCAAGAAACAATTTAAACACAAGAATGAGAAGATGAATTTCTACCTTAAGTCTCCAATTCAAGGAAGGAAAGCTCAAATATGCAATTTTTTCTTCAATTCCAAGCAATTCACGAGTTAAAGTGAGATGAAATCAACTCTTCTAGTCTCTCTCTCCCTATGGTCGGCAATAACAAAGAGAATGGCTGATGAATTGTGTGCCTAAGTATGTAATTAGGCTCAAATATGTGTAAGAAAGTGTCCACTAAGGAGGTAGTTAGGTAAATAAGCTTAACTCTCTTGATTACTCGATTTAATCTAATTAAATCATACCAAATCACATTTTAACTAAATATGCCATAAAATCGCATTAATTCTAAGGATCACAAATCATCAATCAATTTTAGATTCGGCCGCCAACAAGGCCTTCAATTAACAGTTTAAACATAAAAACTGAACAGATAATTAAACAGTCAACAGATAGACATACAGTTAAACAGATATACTTAGTCAATTCAATTCCATATTTCAGTCAGTCAGTTCAGTATTTCAATTAGTTCAATTACCAATCATAATCAGTCTCAGTTTAGCAGTAATCAGTAGTTAATCGGTAAATAGTGGTGAGGGTTATTACATTTTTGAAATTCACTCAACAAATTCACGCATGAATGGTCCATGTTCAACAGCTGAAATTCACTCAACAAATTCACTCAATATGTTTATGAAATTCACTCAACATACACAGAGCTTGCAACACAGTAAGATGCAGACTTTTGAGGTCAGGACAGCCCCTTGTACTAAAATAAGAAATTATCCAATTGTTAAAGATTCAATTCAGACCTAGGAGCTTCTAAAGTTCATAACTGCTAAGCACTGTAGAAGATCCATGGACACAGTAGAACTGAATTTAGTGACTGTAAAACTTCAAATTGAATATCATGCAAATTGAAATATTGTATTCTCCAATCATGGCATCAAGGATCGTAGTTAAATGGACCAAAAAAACTAAATAAAAGAACAGAAACATGGCTATTAACCCTGATCCCTAGCAGCTTATCAAAAGGTCAACTAGTAAGCCCATAAAACATGTTAAGAACCATTTGTAAGAATATCCAACACCCTACAGGTTTCTATTCTTTCAAAAATGGGACCTTCAATTCATTCAACTCAAAAAAATGGGGCATTCAAGTGAACAATCCGAAGTTTACAAATGAAATTCATGTACAATTAGCACTTCGAAACTAAAAAAAAAACGGGACATTCGGATCCCCGTCGATGTTCAAGTCAACAAAATTTGATGGTACTATCGAACTTTGACTGCTAATATTGTTGACCATTCCAGCTTGAGTATAAGATGTGCTTCCAATGTTGTCCCCAATTGTGCTAACTGGTGCCTGTAAAAATAAAGTAAATATTAAAAAAAAAAATTCCACAAACATATTCACCAATATCAAGCGACAACAAACAAAGTGCAATATATTAAGTCTGTTCAACACATATCGGTACATACATATTGTCAGCTATGGCATCCATAGAAGGACAATATTAAGGCTGATTTGGTGGCACCTAATGATAAAATAGTAACACAAGTTAATTAGTAATTTCAAGCACTAAAATTAAAAGCCAAAAAAAAAAAAAACACGAAATAACCTTCATATTTAACACGTATCGGTTCATATATAGTGTGTTGCACACCTCCCGTACAAGGAAAACTTAACTTACGAGGTTCATCTTGATGCACCTTCTGACCCTATAGTACCAAACATTGATGAATATTTGAAGTTTAACAAATTTTGCAATATACATGTGTACTGCGGAATGAAAAATGTACCTATACTGGGTTAGCCTTCTTATTCTTTCCCTTCAACCGATTGACTATTGCATCAACCTTGCTAACCTTCTGTTTCGTACATGGACGGCCTCTTCGGCGAGCAACCAAAGGACTTAGTACCTTGCGAGTCATGATTTCTTTTGTAGTATTGATACGAGGCGGACTTTTTGGTAAAGTATGGGAAGATGGTAAAGTACTAATACATGGCACATTACTTGCACTACTTGATTGAACTGTTCTCACTTCATCTTTGATTTTCATCAACCCAAGTTGAATCACTTTGTGTTTACCATCATCATTGGTAGCAAGTTCTAGGATCTCATCCAACGTGTTGTGATAGTTATCATGCAACTTTGGATGTAGAGAAGAGCCAAAGTTAGTATGTGTGGTTAGAATGCATGCGTAGCCTCTTTCCAAGTCTTTTCTCCATCTCGAAACAATGTATTTATTTGGCACCTCATATATGGATCTTTCAATGAGCACACAAAGTGAATTGGCACACATAATACCTCTAAACTCAAACAACCGACACATACATTGGAGCTCACATTCAGTTGAATTAAAGTGCACAACAAATTCCACTTTCTTCATCCCCTCACCCACAACAACAGCCTCCCTCACATGATAGGTACAAATTGCTCCCTCCTCTTTGATAAGATTTGCACGACAATACACTAGACGCTTCATTTCTAGTTGAACTTCTTTAAATTTGGAATTAGTGTAAGCTGTACGAAATTGCTTCTCAAAATGATACACCGTTAAGCAATCATACACTTTGTTACGAGACTTAAAATCTACTTTTGTCTCATTTTCTACCTTACTTCTCAACGCATTGTCATATTGCTCAACAAATTGCTTCAAGGTGGTCTTGGAGTTCACATATCCATCAAAGAATGCATTTATACTCTCATTTCGTTGTGTAGTTGACATGCCAGCCCAAAATATGTCTTTAACATAGGCAGGAATCCACCTATGTCGCTCACGATATAATACCCCAACCACTCGTTATCATTCAAATTGAAATTTTCAATCACTGCTTTCCAGTATTCCTCAAATTCATCTTTTGTGAATGAATCATAAACTGCATTATTGAAAGCAACCTTTATGGACTCCTATTGTGAATATCCTCTCAATTTCTCGGGAATTTTCTTCATAATATGCCATAAACACCAACGATGCCGAGCCTGTAGGAAGACAATTTCTATGGCATTTTGCATAGCTCTGCACTAGTCAGTTATTATCGTTTTTGGGGGAGCATCTGACATGCAACTTAACCATTCTTTGAATAGCCAAACAAAAGTCTCCGTGTTCTCATTACTTAACAACCCACAACCAAACAAAATTGACTGTTCATGGTGATTAACTCCTACAAACGGAGCAAACGACATATCGTATTTGTTTGTCAAATAGGTTGTGTCAAAAGAGACAACATCCCCAAATGCTTTATAACCCGCCCTACTCCTTGCATCCGCCCAAAACAAGTTGCGCATGCGACCATCTTCATCAAGGTCAATTGCCGAATAAAAGTTTGAATTTTGTTGTTGCATTTCATGAAAATAATGTGTAACTGATTCGGCGTCTCCTACCCCAAGTCTCAACCTTCTAGCATTCTCAATATAATTCATTGCATCTCATTCATCAAACGTTAATGCCTCATATCCCCCCGCTTCAACAACTATGGAATGAAAATTCTTAGCCACCCCAATTCCTGCTGCATCGTTAACTTCTAGTGTCACGACCCAAACCCGGCCCTGTGGGTTTAGCACCGTAACTGGCCAGTAATCCGACGTGAGTTAGTAGCAACCAAATCATGAGTGTGCTCAAGCACAACTGTGGTTAACTTATATGTTCCATCCTTTTGTAGACTGGCTCTTACCATTGCTTTACAATCAATTTTTGATGACAAAGATGGTTCCAAGAGATTTATTTCTAATCTTTTTGTTCTGTTTCGTGCCCTAGTACATTCAATTCCAAAGTACTTAACTTCCCCATCACATGTTAAATTTTGTGTTCTATAAGCTATAGCAAATCCCGAGTGTTTCGCATATTTTGCATAAAATGCGTACACCTCTTCCTTTGAGCTAAAATACATTCCTTTCTTAGGTTCTTCAACTTCACCACACTCATTAAATGAAAGAGTGCTATCTTCTTCTTCAACTTCGTCACTCCCATTGAAAAAATTATTGTTCGAATCAATATCCATTCTACCTTCAAAGTTAAATAGAATACAAAATTTTAGAGTACAAACAATTATCTTATTAATGGCAGTCACCTTAAGAATGGGGCTTTTCAGATTTGTAAAATATGAGAGCCATTAGGCTAGAATCAAAAGGAGTTGAATTTTATAGCTTAAATCAATCACGGAATCCAAAAGAATTATTCAATGTGAGAAGATAAAAATCTTTGCAACCATAAGTAATTGAAAAATGGCATTTTGAATTGAATTGATGATAGAATACAGCCATAGTCTACAACAATAAAAAGCAATAGATAAAACCATAAAAGGTATTATTAAACATGTAAAGTCAATTGAGAATGAAAAGATGTTGACAGGTTCCAAAATTCTATTAAACATGTAAAGTCAATTGTATTAAACATGTTGACAGGTTCCAAAATTCTGTATTATCAAAATTCATGACAGTATTAAACGTGTTGACTGTATTATTAAACATGTTGACAATATTATTAAAGTCAATTGAGAATGAAAAGATAACAATAAAAGGTATTATTAAACATGTTGACAGTATAAAAGATTCAAAATTCTGTATTGACAATATTTACAAATTCTGTATTTTCCTCACATCTCCACCTCCAAAACAGTATAATTCGAAGGGGTATTTCTTGTGTAAATACTGTTTTGGGTTGAATCTGTATTTACAAATTCTGTCAACACAAAATTTGAATATTGAGTGAATTGAAGGTCCCATTTACACAACACAGAATTTGAATCTTGAGTGAATCTTGGGTAAATACACTATTTACACAAGGGGTATTTCTTCTGTATTTTCCTCACATCTCCTTATCCAAAGTTAAATACTATTTTGACGAATCTTGTGAAAATTCACGTACAAATTCTGTTTTAAAGATTCAACCCAAAACAGTGTTGATTTCTTGTCTTGAAGAGCAAATGAAGAGCAAATCACACAAGGGAAACAAAAATACCAGTCAAGACTCCTTTTCTTCAACTATGGATGACACAACGGTAGTAGCTTGTGGCACCCATGGCAGCAACAAGAACCCAGATCGCTCCTCTCATTGTGCCGCTAGGTTACGAACGATACATGCTTCTCTCTCTTTAATCTCTGTTCTTGTCTTTCTTTTTATTTTTTTTATTGTTTTGCCAAATAAAATGATGCTTGGCTGTGAGACTTCATTCAAGCACACGCCCACAGAGGATAAAAAACAACATTCGGGCCACTCTTGAGCCACACTCTTTTGAGCTACGAATCGCTATTGTTCTATTGTTGATATAATACACATTTTGTGGAATGAATAATTGTGCTTTAGATGGAATATCAAGGAAATGCATATTTTAGCAACCTAATGAACGACGAGTTTGACCTTGACTATGATGTTACCACTGAATCTCCTTAACAAGAGAGTCAATCTTTATCATTCGCTCCTGAAATTATTACTCAAACCACAAAGATATCACAACGCAAAGGAAACTTCACTGTAGAGGAAGACATGATGCTTATATCTTCATGGCTTAATACTAGCTTAGATCTAATTAGAGGAAATGAGCAAAAGTCAAAGGCATATTGGTTAAGAGTGTGAGAGAACTTGAACAAGTACAAAACCTTCGATTCTGAAAGAACTCAAACTTCTCTTATGAATCAGCGGTCGACGATTCAACTTGCCACAAATAAATTTTGTGGATGTGTTTGCTCAAGTTGAACGGTTGAATCGAAGTGGTTCGACTGAAAAAGACAAGGTATTACTAGAATTTAATTTTGTACCTATAATGAATATATATTTTTCATTACGTGATAGTGATTATTCTTTAATCTATTTTTCAGATTCGGGATGCGAAAAATTGTACAAAGACATGTGTCAATTGAAATTTCCCTTTGAGCATTGTTGGAATGAATTAAGATCCCAACCAAAATGGATGGAAGATACAACAACGAAGAAGCAAAAAAGCACAAAAAATGCATCTCCGGCAACGTCTACCCCTTGTACACCAGATTCAGTAAATTTAGGGGACAATGATAACTATGATGTTGTGGAAAGACCATCAGGAAGAAAGGCCGCAAAGAAAAACAAAGCCAAAGATCTTGGAAATAATGTTACAGAGTCGCCTTTTGTGAAGCTCTTAGAAGAGATAAAGGTAAAGAACGACATAACAAATAAGAAGAAAATAGAGATATTTGAGAAATCTTATCTTCAAGAGGAACGAAGGATTGAAAATGAGGAAATGAGAGAGGAACGAAGGCTTGCATTGGAGGAAGGAAGAGAGGAAGAGAGAATCATGTCAATGGATACAAGCATGATGCCTCCATTGCAAGCGCAATATATTTGCCAACGTCAGATGCAAATCCTTGAAAAAATGAATTAATTGTTTCTAATTAGCTTTGAAACTATGTTTTTATTTAATTTAAGTTTGACTGCATTTTATTTTTGGGTTTGCTGGCACATCTTGTATCAGTTGGGGTTGCTTTGCTGAGTTGTCATGCTTCTAGAAAATAGAGATATTTTGTGATGTTTTTGGATAGTTTCAGTTGGGGTTGTTGCTTCTTGTTGCTGATGGTTTGTCAAACAGCTAAATTCATTACATCACTTTTATATGGCTTGTTAGCACATTTTGTATTGTTTTATCTAGAGTAAATATGATACAAGCTGCAATGATATATTGTTTTATTGTTTTAGTATGGCTTGTTTTATTGTTTTATTGACAGAAAAAATTTATTCTAAGTATCACTAAAGATCATAGATTAAAAACAAATCACTAATGATATATTATTGAAAGCACATGAAGTAGTACAAATATTTTTGAAAACACACTCACTAAAGCATATAAACTAGTACATAGTGCCTGTTTGGCAGAACTTAAAAGCAGCTTATTTCAGCTTTCAGCTTAATTTAAGCTATTTTGATGTGTTTGGTTTAGCTTATAGCTTATACCTTATAGCTTTTTGGAAGTCAGAAATCAGCTTATTCTTTGAGTGGGGCAGGAGATGCTTAATTTATAAGTCAGAAATCAGCTTATGTTCATAGTTATAAGTTATAAGCTGTTTAGGCATAAGCTATAAGTACTTTCCCACAGCTCTACCAAACAGGGCCATAAATCAATAAGAACCAACAAGTACTTCTCACAAGGAGTCTCCATGTAGTGTTCACAAGTGTTTGACCAAGTCTTGTTTGAGTTTGGAGTAAGTTCCTCTATCTTTGATACGATGATGATTTTGAATGAATTCAAAAAGTTCTGGTGTACGCTCATGAGACAGTGGTGGAAGACTTTCACTAATTGTATCATAATTAAAAAATGAATGAAGTTGAGAAATATAGTTCAAATTGGTAAAAATGAAAGAGCAAATTCTTTTCATAAACAAAAATATATGACCGTTAGGAATATATCCGTTTGAGAATATTACCGTTAGAGAATAATACCGTTTGAAAATATGACTGCTGAGATAATATGATTGTTTGAAAATATTTTTTTTATAAATAATTTAATTATATATTTTAAATAAATAAATATTTGCAAATGCCACGTCAATATATGCAGCATGTCATAAAAAGATTATTTATTTATTTATTAATGTTTATAATAGTTTTCTTTTAAAAATTAGTTAAGTTAGTTTATCTGTTATTGATTTGTCGATTATCTGGATATTATTTTTAGGTTTTTATTTTTGATATTATTTTGAAGTTTGTGTCTCAACCATTCATAAGAATTGATAGGTATTTTCTGGATATTATTTGTTTTTTGCATGAATTTCGATGCTCCACAAGGGGAGACCACCATTTTAGCTTTTCCTTATTTTGAAGTTGTCCTTTAAATTTAACTTGATCAAGAAAGAAACCTCAAGTTATAGCTTATTTATTTTTATGTAATCTAGTAATTATTTGATAATATTGTAGTAATAACCATGACCAAATAAGCAGGAATTAGAACCACTTATTTGGATTTTTTTTTTCTTTTTTTTCACCAAAGAACCTTGACTAACTAAATACACTTCAATATTATTTGGTCTAATTTGTCATTATTTGGTAATTGTTATTAGTTTTGCATTGCAAGCATTCTGGTAGTGATTGATAGATAAATGTTCATAAATTTTGCTGAAACTGGTGATTACAGACTTTTTTTTGAACTACATTGATTTTCCACATCCACTTTTTACTTGGCGAGGTTAAATGGCGCTAAAGTGTTGCCGCTGCCTTGGACATGCACTTGCATGTGTTGGGCGTGTGCTGGGCACCTTGGGCAATTTTGCCTTGCTGCCTGGCATTCTAGGCTTGGCTGCCATGCCTTTGGGGCCCCAAGTGCTGACCTTGGCTGCCATGTGCCATGCCTTAGTGATGGTTTTTATTTTAATTGTCAAAATAGAGCAACAATGTGATTAAGCAATGCCTCCTTTGGACCCAATTTAATCAAAGACTTGTACATACCAAAATTATATTCATGTTTGCTCACACTCTGCCCCCATGTGACAATGTGTGAAACTTAAAAGAGCAAAAGAACACTATCACAAAAAACACAAGGAAAAAAAAGAAAAAAGAAAAAAAAAAAGAACATAATGACAACATGGTCAATAATTTAATACCCATATTTCTCCATTTTTTCCTTTTTTCATAAATAGATTTTTTACAAATAGTATTGAAGTTTTTTTTTTCCCTATATATGCCATTGTTGCTCTTCTAACGTGGTTCAATAGGATAGTATTTACTTCCTGATTGAAGTAATTAGATACATATGTGTTGTATGTGAACTATTTAATGAATCTATTTAAATCCAAATAGATAAATTTCAAACATGTAATTGAAATTCCCTAGGGTGAAATTCAAACATGTAATTAGATATATTTTTTTAAGTAAACAGATTCAAGGGGGTGAAGAATGCTGTGAGGTTCCATTGTGGGTGAAGAATGCTGCGGAGATGGATTAGATTATAAGGGGATGAAGCCCTTGGTGAAGTCAGTTGTCCCCTTTTGTGGCTGTCCTTTTGTTTTTGCTTTTTTGTGCTTGTTTTGCTGCTTTTTTCTTTTCCTATCCTTTTCCTTTTATTTTGTTTTCTTTTGCTGCCCTTGTCATTGTTTTAAATTTAGTTTCAAGTCCGATTGATGCTCCTTTCTATATAAAATTTCTATTTTGCACCTGAACATTTGGTGGTTGTCTTATCCCCAATTCTATATGTTGGCTTCTAACAAAATTTTGTTATGCTTTAGTTATTTACTGCTAAGTAATTACGTTTTATTATGTCATATTACACATATGATCCTAGGACGTCCTTCCAAACATTGTCCATCAATGTCTAGATCAGATGTGCCTTTATCATCTAAAGATACTTCTCATACAGAGTGAAATATAGGTAAGTTGCAATAATGAAGTATAAAATTTTATGTAGTCATCATATTTTAAGGTGTTTCATATGTTGCCTTCTTACAAAATTTCGTGGTCTTATTAGGTGATAATAGATGGGTTCGACTTGAGGAAAGAATACATCGAAAATTATGGCCAACAATGGTGGCCAAAAACTACTTGTTGAGGTGCTTACAAATAAAGGATGTGCAATAGTACGTAATTCCACTAAGTTGGGAAATGAGCTTGATGCAGAGATTCGATTGAGGGCACCGTTGCAGGGAGTGACATGTTGGGGTGAGATTCCTAAACCAATTAGAGAGGCAATCATATAGACTGCTCGAGTATTTGCATTTGATTCCTTCATATAAGTAGGTTAATAAATAGAGGTTATCTTCTTTATGACTGTCCCGTAATTCAGAAATTTATGGGCAACCATTCACTATGTGCCACATAAGTCAATTGGTGAGTGGCTGTGTAATGAGTCGAGTGGAGTCAAATTCAATTCGTACTTTCTTTTTTGGTCTAGTTTGGTAATTATCTTAGTATATTTGTGGGTTCGTGTCTTGGTTAGAGTTGGATTGGTACGAGTTTTCAAATCGTTTAATTGTGTAATTATTATTATGGTTGTGATGTTATGGATCATTCTATATAAATGGTGAAAACAAATTATGTTACTTTTTGATTTCGACTTTTTGGGATCTACTCAGTAATGTTTTTGGTTTTAGTTATTAGATCTGTATATGAATTTAATCTTTGGGTTTTATATGATTAGCCCATGTGGCTCATCTATCTATCTACCTATCTATCTATCTATCAATATATATATATATATATATAAATATTAAGGAAAAAGGGGTTTCTAACCCCCAAGCAAAAATAATAATTTGTGTTACTTCTCTTATACTTATTACCACACAATTTTCAACTTCTGCCATACACTATGGTTAATGATGGGATTGTTAAATTAGTTTTATAAAACATCTAAAAAATAATAATTTGTGTTACTTCTCTTATACTTATTACCACACAATTTTCAACTTCTGCCATACACTATGGTTAATGATGGGATTGTTAAATTAGTTTTATAAAACATCTAAAAAATAATAATTTGTGTTACTTCTCTTATACTTATTATCACACAATTTTCAACTTCTGCCATACACTATGGTTAATGTTAAGATTGTTAAATTATTTTTATAAAAAATCTTAAAAAACATAATTTATATATTAAAAAAAAATCTAAAACAAATATAAATATCTATAATTATCCTGTGCACAGCACGGATCATAGGCTAGTATGTTATATAAGGAAAAGAAGCTTTTAGTGAGATGAGCTAAGAGAGCTCTAAGGGCTCAATCCAAATTTCTTGACTTTTTAATTTTAAAAAATAATTAATAGATCACACACTAATATTTTTTTTAAACAAAAAATGTATTTTTTATTCTTAAAATCATTCCTTTTTTACCATCAAATAATGAAGGAGTTTTTAAATTAAGAAAAAATGATTAATAAATCATACACTCAAAAAAGGAGTTTTTCAATTAAAAAAATTAATACATTACGCTCAAAAATATTTCATCGTAAAATATTTTCTATTAAAATATTTTAAATTCTTCACCATAAAGTGATAATTTATATAATTAATGAGCTAACTCGAAAATATTTCACCGTAAAATATTTTAAATTCTTCACCATAAAGTATAAAAATAATTTATATAATTAATGAGCTAAGAGAGCTCTAAGGGCTCAATCCAAATTTCTTGATCTTTCAATTTAAAAAAATAATTAATAGATCACACACTAATATTTTTTTTTTTTAAAACAAAAAATGTATTTTTTATTCTTAAAATCATTCTTTTTTTACCATCAAATAATGAAGGAGTTTTCTAATTAAGAAAAAATGATTAATAAATCATCCACTCAAGAAAGGAGTTTTTCCAATTAAAAAAATTAATACATTACACTTGAAAATATTTCATTGTAAAATATTTTCTATTAAAATATTTTAAATTCTTCACCATAAAGTGTAAAAA